CCTCAATCCGAGATGCTATCCACCGTGTCTAGTTCATTAAAATGATGTGTTCGGAAAATAAAAACATTTCTATAACTCTAGATATATACATAAAAATCTTCTACAATGATTCCTGTATTCAGTTAAATGTAAAAAAAAAATAATCTCATCCTTGATAATGGTTAAAAGAATAGCCGATAGCGCTCAAATGCACAGAACTTTCGCATAATTTCTACATAAATTAAGAAAAAAATAAGGTATACAAGAAAAATGAGATAAAAATCTTAACCGCAGTACCTTGTCAGTCCTTTTTAACGAAACTTGTACATATCTATAATTAAGATAATTACTAGATTACATTTGTCAAATCTATACCAAACTATTAGGCTGGTGCAAAAATAATAACGTAATAATGTCGTTTTTTGACGTATTTTTTAACGTTAAAAAACGACATTATTCCGTCATTATTTTTGCACCAACCTAATATATGATAGAATAATAGAGGATCAACGGTTTTAACACTTTAAAATTTAATGAACGTACATGAAAGTTGCGTTTGCGATGCCGGGGGCAATCAAATAAAATTATATATATTTCTATTGAATGCAAATTAAATATTTTTATCCTATATGCATGGAAGCTTAATAATAATTATTCATTCCCCTACCTGTTCTTGGGGCCGTTTTTTAAGATCAACAATGGATAAGCAGGTGGTGTTATGTATGACGTCTTGGCCAGAAATAATCGGAGTGCCGAGTTCGAATTCTAGCCAAACCTTTAAGTTTATCTTCGCTATGGGTTCTACATCAGGACGTCTCTGAAAAAAATATTTTTATTCCCAAAAACATTTTCGTGCAATATTCACTCGCAAAAATAATTATTCTGATGATAAAAAAAGTTCCTTCCGCTTTTTAATAACCTACAAAATGGTTTATAAGCGCATATTTTATCTAATACTAGACTCAAGAGTCACTCAAGTTAGAGGGTTACTGAATGAGATTGTTGTAAGAGCGAATCGAGGAATCACTGTAGGAGAAATTCTGATTGGAATAGAAACATGATGTCAAGCAGGTTTCAGGTACCGAAACAAGCTCTCTTGTTAGTGACGACCTTCTTTGTTTTTTTATGTGCCATCTCCTTTAAGGACGTAGGCAACCATGGCTCTCTACCTCCCTCTATCCCGTGCAGCTCTCAAAAAATTCCTTCCCACTGCTTCCTACCCAGGGCCACATTCTGTCATCCACTTGCTTAAGGTCGCTAAGTATGTCACGCGTTATTTTCCCTTGTCTCTTTTTCCCTCTATTCGACCAGTGAGTATCAAATTCTCCAGGCCCTCCTTCCTCATTATGTGTCCCAGAAACTTCAGCTGGCTGTTCCTGATATTAAAAGATCCATTATAGGTATTTCCACGAGATCGCTAAAAAATCAGCATACCGTGATGAAGACATTCTCCAAACTTAATGAATACATAATTTTGTCATTAAAATCGTTATGTTATAATTAAGAGGAAGGATTATTTTTTTTTTTATTTTATTATTATTTTTACTTCTCTTTAGAACATTCGAAATTTTGATTAAAATACTTTTCCTCTTGCTTCGACGGTTGTACAAACTTTCAGTACAGTGTAACCCGGATATATCCGGGTTACACTGTTGTCGGGATCGGAGACGAAGTCTCTTATATCCGGGTTTGGTCTATTTTGTTTACATTAACACAGGCTCTAATTTGGGACCAGAGAAAATCCGGGTTTCTCTTATATCCGGGTTTCTCTTATATCCGGGTTTCTCTTACATTCGGGTCTCTTATATCCGGGTTACACTGTGTAACAAATTTTCGTCTCTCTTTTCTTTTTTTTTCTTTTGCAGTGACAGACACATTAATTAAGAAATTCTTGCAAAAATCAAATAATTCTCGGAGTTTAATGAATCTTTCAGGACTTATTCACAAATGAATGAAATTATTTTTTTTTATTTTATTTATTAGAAAATCTTGATAAAATATGTTTTTTTTACATGTGTTTCTGCCTCGTACCTAATTTTATGAAAGCTTCAGAAATTCATCGAGATAATTTGTAGTGACTATATTAGTTAAAAACTGAATTGGTTGAAGAATTTAAATCGCCGATTTTATTTTGCAAAACCAGACCCCAGTTTTACCGAAAATCTGTTCTGAATCGAAAGGCAATAAAACCAAGACATTATTTACTTAGAGAAGCTTTTAATTGCTTTTATGAAATATATATATATATATATATATATATATATATATATATATATATATATATATATATATATATATATATATATATATTGAAGACAATATTGTCTGATGCAAAATGGATATTTAAAAGATTTTCTACAATTTTTTTACAATTTAAAATAGAATAATTTATAAAGTTTTTGAATCTTTTAAAGTTCAGCTTCGATGCGATCATTTTTAGAGAATGTTGTTATTAAGTAAAACTATATTTACTAATCATATTACTAATCATATATTTTAAAATATATAAAATTTTATGCTATAAGTAAGTAATGTTTGTTTCAGATTAACTTTAAATTTGCTAACTGTCCTCAAAAAACGTATCAAAAATATATTTACTTTTGTTTACAAATGTCTAAAAAATGGCTGACGAAATCGATTTTACTGAAGAAATGCTACTCTATTCCAATCTATATAATTTCTGTCTGAAATACACCAAACTATTTTACTTACTGGATATAATAAATTTAATCCTTTAGCTTTCAATTAAAGCTAAATTGAAAGCTTCAGGGATGCTTTTTCATATTTAAAAAATTATTTTAAACATTACGTATAGCGAATTCGTGGAAGGACCTACATTAAATAAGTAGGGGTTAGAAAGGCTGCCCAGAAATGAGCCGACATCTTCTAATGCGATGTTATACAGAGTTACTAAAGAACTGCTCCTCTCAGGTATGCCGACAATCTAACTTAACTGGGAAGGATATTTTAGGATGATTTAACTAAAGTCAGATGTCCATAACCTAAACGAAGGGCGAAGACATTTGTAATTCGTCAGTGTCGGACTCAGAATTATTTAAAAATCAGCAAGGAGTTTGGTCACTCGGGATGTTGAATTAACAGCTAGCTAAGGGGTTACAGAGGAGTCATTGTAATAAACTATGCTTTAACTGAAAATGTTTTTTTAACCCACTGTAAACCCAACGAAAATATAAATGATACCCATTAATAGAATGAAAAGAAAATAAATATATAAAATAAAGTAACGGTACTACTATTGGCACTGTGTTGGATATCGGTTAAAGAAAGACCTTCGTCCTTACTTCCGCTGCATCAAGGTGTGAGCGAAAATCGGAACTGGTATCAACAGGAAATTCATCCGGTAGCTAAAACAAACAGGACATACATGAGTTCTAAGCGGAAGGAAATGCGTGATTTAGTGGGCGCATGACGGAATAGGCGTGGTCACACGATGTTGCGTAGCCACATGAAGTTACGTTGGTGTCCAAATGTTTTAAAACTGGTTCGATTCTTGATCCGGAAAGAGAGGCTGGCCAGAGGTTCACCGAAGATTGGTCTCTTTCAATTCCGGTGTGTGAAATCCTAACCTCTGTGATTCTCTCACACTCTACCCATTCGCCCCAACTCGAACAATACAAATATATATATATATATATATATATATATATATATATATATATATATATATGTGTGTGTGTGTGTGTGTGTGTGTGTGTGTGTGTGTGTGTGTGTGTGAATTTAAGCATATTTGACAACTCGGTCTCATCGTTTTCCACTTGAATAAGATGTAACCGCAAGTTCTCGTATAACAGTTTCTTTGCTGGCACTTCTTGCGTGTATAACTTTCTTCCTGCTTCTTGCTTCCCTGCCGCTTACGAACTTCAAAAATTGAAACTATCTTTTGATCACCTGTTCTTTTATTGTCCTTTGTACTTACTAATGTTTTCTCATTCTCATTAACCCCATTTTGTGTTAGTGGTATTATTGCATTGTTTGGGGTGAAATGATACAAAAACGAAACAGCTGACAATCCGTCCTTGTGTTAATTCATAGATATGGTATTGTTTACCTATTGTTTTTCTCACCAGGTTACTATTTGTACCCTCTTTCTACTTTAAATGTTTGCATGTTTATACAAATAATTTGCTCTATTTTAAAATATGTTTTCTCGGTCTCTCCATCAATAATATTAATAATACTAACCTGTAGTACTTGCGAAAATATGACGGTCTTGATATTTGATTTTTCTACTTAATCTTAATTCTTAATCTACTATGTGAATAATCTCCTTTTCAGCTCTATGACTATGAAACACCTGTAAGAATTTCCCTACTGTATCGTTAAATATTTGAGCTTAACAACCTTAATATTGCAATAACAATCCTTTGTATGAATGCGGGTCATTATTTAAAGAAGAAAGAGGGTACAAATGAAAATATTTAAAATTGACAAGTTTTCCAATTCACTAATGCAGACGTTAAGTCTATGAGCGCCATACTGACTATAGTAAATTTTTCTTTCTTTATTTATTTTTATCCTTGAAGCCAAACAGAGTGTCTGATCTTTCTGTTCCGTCTTTCCTCACGAGTAAAACGGAATACTTCATTAGTTTTACGAAGGTCATTCAAAAAATTCTAAGCCTTACCTAGAAAGAAATATTTTTGTTGTGGCAACATACTATCATTTCTTATAAAACTAGAAAAAATAATTCACATTTCTGACTTAATTTTTTCCAGCTCTATAAATGTGTGAACAATCACTTCCATTGTTGATTAGATCGTCCTTTTTATTCCGAACGATTTTTTATAAAAAGTTTATCAAAGAAAAGGCTATGAATTATATTGCAATTATTTAACCTTGAAGTAAATAAATATGTCGTGTGTAATCATGATAATAAGTAGCTCAAAGTTTATTGTACATTAAACTAAATACTATTACACACCCACACCGCATATGCAGATATATATATAGGTATATGTGGTTGCGTGAATATGTATGTTGGTCAATAGTTTGGAATAAACGTCTGGAGATAAAGTCTGAATGGAAGTGAAATGAAGCGAATAATGTTGATAGATAGATAGATAGATAGATAGATAGATAGATAGATAGATAGATAGATAGCAACGGATATAAATATTCTCATGGTAATATCGAATAATGTGAGATATGAACATAGATAGATAGATAGCAAGGGATATGAATACCCTCATGTTGGTAATATTGAATAATGTGAGGTATGAACATAGATAGATAAATAGATAGATAGATAGATAGATAGATAGATAGAAGGCTACAAACAAAAATAAAGGTAATAACTAAAGAGATATATAAATAAATGAAATATGTGGTAGATAGATAGATAGATAGATAGATAGATAGATAGATAGATAGATAGATAGATAGATAGATGAAGTGGTTATGATTGAAAGAAAGAAAGAAGGTAAAGAAATTGAAAGAAAAAAGACACATATACATATAAAAAATAAATAAAAACATCGATTTATAGACGGATAAATAGATAGCTACGGACATAGAAAGCCTTATGGCGATAATATCGAATAGTGTGAGATATAAATTTTCTTAGAAAGAAAGAAGGCAAAGAAAAAAGATAATATTGTAGATAGATATAAAAATGAATAAAAACGGTGATAGTTAGCTAGATTGCTTACATTATTCGGACTGTTAACCTAATTACTATATTACTGTGATTGGTATTTCGAACTGAACCCTTTATTTCATCCACCAGCTATTTCCCCGTTTAATTCAAAAAGTTTGGTTCAACACGGCTGAGGCTAGGTGTCGAACTCACAACACTTTGGGTCTAGTCACTGGATGTAACCAATAATCTTCAACTACTGCGCCTTTTGGACTTGAGAAGATCTGCGTATGAATTTTTGGGACTTATAAACCTAATGCCACAGCAACTATTTTTTGACCAGAGCTCATATTGCAATTTTCCGTTATTATTATTGTATTTTTTTACCAGGACTTATATTGCACTTTTTGTTGGTATTCATTACTTTTCTCTATCATGATAGACAAAACAGGCGGCGATAGATAGATAGATAGATAGATAGATAGATAGATAGATAGATAGATAGATAGATAGATATTAATCGATTCATATACGCGCTACCGGAAACGCGCTACCGGAAACAGATATGAACTGATTCCGTTTCATCGATGTATTCTAAATGCCCTATACACGTTTTTTCTATTCAGTGTTTCCGTTCCCCTTGATACACAAGACCCGAGAAATTCGGAAGCAATGTTATTTAATCCGTTACTTTGGGTGAGTAAAAAGTATAGATACATCCCTTCCCAATGGCCTTATTACAAAATATAGAAATTCAATCATTATTTGAACTCGCCGATTCCATTTTACGCGCTACCCAGATATCGTACATACAGAAACTCGATCATAATTGAACTTGCTAATTCCATTTTTCCATTTTACGCACATTTTACGCGCTACCCAGATATCGTACATACAGAAACTCGATCATAATTTGAACTTGCCAATTCCATTTTACGCGCTACCCAGATATCATACATACAGAAACTCGATCATAATTTGAACTTGCCAATTCCATTTACGCACTACCCAGATATCGTACATTTTGAACTTTACAATTCCATTTTACGCGCTACCCAGATATCGTACATACAGAAACTCGATCATAATTTGAACTTGCCAATTCCATTTTTTACGCACTACCCAGATATCGTACATACAGAAACTCGATCATTTGAAATTTGAACTATCCAGATAATTCGATCATTTTCAACGCAATTCCATTTTACGCCTATCCAGATATCGTACATACAGAAACTCGATCATAATTTGAACTTGCCAATTCCATTTTACGCGCTATCCAGATATCGTACATACAGAAACTCGATCATAATTTCAACTTGCCAATTCCATTTTACGCGCTATCCAGATATCGTACATACAGAAACTCGATCATAATTTGAACTTGCCAATTCCATTTTACGCGCTATCCAGATATCGTACATACAGAAACTCGATCATAATTTGAACTTGCCAATTCCATTTTACGCGCTATCCAGATATCGTACATACAGAAACTCGATCATAATTTCAACTTGCCAATTCCATTTTACGCGCTATCCAGATATCGTACATACAGAAACTCGATCATAATTTGAACTTGCCAATTCCAATTCCATTTTACGAAACGATCTCCATATCCAGATATCGTACATACAGAAACTCGATCATAATTTGAACTTGCCAATTCCATTTTACGCGCTATCCAGATATCGTACATACAGAAACTCGATCATAATTTCAACTTGCCAATTCCATTTTACGCGCTATCCAGATATCCCAGATATCAACTTACATATCCAGATAAACAGAAACTCGATCATAATTTGAACTTGCTAATTCCATTTTACGCGCTATCCAGATATCAAAACATACAGAAACTCGATTTCAACTTGCCAATTCCATTTTACGCGCTATCCAGATATCGTACATACAGAAACTCGATCATAATTTCAACTTGCCAATTCCATTTTACGCGCTATCCAGATATCGTACATACAGAAACTCGATCATAATTTTGAATTTCCAGAACTTCGCATAATTTCAATTCCATTTTACGCGCTATCCAGATATCGTATACAGAAACTCGATCATAATTTCAAAATTCCATTTTACGCGATCCAGAATTTCAGAAACTTCGATCATAATTTCAACTTGCCAATTCCATTTTACGCGCTATCCAGATATCGTACATACAGAAACTCGATCATAATTTCAACTTGCCAATTCCATTTTACGCGCTATCCAGATATCGTACATACAGAAACTCGATCATAATTTGAACTTGCCAATTCCATTTTACGCGCTACCCAGATATCGTACATACAGAAACTCGATCATAATTTGAACTTGCCAATTCCATTTTACGCGCTATCCAGATACTCGATCATAATTTGAACTTGCCAATTCCATTTTACGCGCTACCCAGATATCGTACATACAGAAACTCGATCATAATTTGAACTTGCCAATTCCATTTTACGCGCTACCCAGATATCGTACTAATCAGTAATAATGGTCAAGCTACACGCTATCCATTACCCCATAGCGAGGTGTCTGAATAGATGGGTAGCGAAGATATAAATAAAGATGAAAAAGAGCTGAAGAAAACCGATAAATATTGACTGAATCCAAAAGAAAAAAAACAAACGAAAAAGAAAAACTGAAAGACAGAGAAGTTTTCGTGAATCTACCCACAATTGAACCTAATGGAATCGAATTTATATGTAGATTTGTCTGTGACAAAAAAAAAAAATGGTCAGATGAAACAGTCAGCGACGCCAAGAAAAAATGGAAAAGCAATCAATTGATGAACGTACGAGAGAATGTAATTCTTTTGTTGGCAGAACAGCCTGTCCACCCACAGGTCTGTGAAGGACTTGACAGCCCGCTGGAAAGCGGTCGTTGTTGGAGTGACATGACAGTTCAGCTTCTGACTCATTCGTTCATCAAAAAGTTGCATTTAAACGAGTCCACTTTTTTCTCTGTGCTCACGGTTGGGTGAATTTTTGCTCCTGTCATTAGGGTCACCGTCTGATGAAAATAAAAGATGACTACAGGACTCAATAAACACAACGATTTTCTTTTTACGCAGTTCATTTTCAAAAAATTTGGAAACTATATTTTTTTTTCCAAAAGAGAGGCTGATATCAAGGGTAAAACTTTAGTCAAAGTCTGTTTACAAATAAAAAGAGTTTATAAAGTCCATCTGCAAATTTAACTAATAGTTTTGAAGTTATACATAATAGACTAAATCTGTCAAAATATTTAGGCTTACAGCCATATCACCTTGAAACACCCGTTTTCGTACAAGAACCGAAGTTAAGCAACGGCAATCCTGGTCAGTAACTATGTAAATGGTCAATGCTTTGGTATACCAGGTAAACATGAGCAAGCGGTTGGTGTCATATTAGGTTGGTGCAAAAATAATGACGTAATAATGTCGTTTTTGACGTTAAAAATACGTCAAAAACATTATTACGTCATTATTTTTGCACCAACCTAATACATAACGGCACAGACCTAGAAATCAGAGAGCTGAGGTCCAATTCCACTTGGATAATGTATGCATCTACCTCTTCACCCCTCTTCTATGGGTTAATTAGTAGGTTGTGTATCGGTAAATCATAATTACCTCCAGCAAATTCAAAACTTATCTATATTTCTGTGATGAGGTATTGTAACTATTTGCACTATTTATATTGTTCATACTTTTGACCTCATGATTCTGTCACATTCGCTTCGGCCTTCTCAATAGTGCCAATTGCCATCTTCTATCTTCTTGAATCCTGTTCAACTTTTGTCCTTTCTTCAATCCTCCCCATTCTCAGTTTTCTTTTTCACTCCGTGTAACCACCTGATTACTACTGGCATTATCGCCTTGCTTGGGGTGAAATCGTTCCATGTCATCAGTTCCCAAGTAGACATCTATGCTTACGACATTACTATTTACTCCTGCCTCAATAGCAAATCTGTTATCACTGACAAAACTAACCTGGCCGTTAGTCTCGAAAAGGACCTCCAATCGGTTGTAGACAGGGGCAGGAATTGGCTGGTTAACTTTAATGCCTCCAAAAAAATGCTCTCTATTACTCACCACAGGGAACCCTCCCTGCCTCCCATTAGAATGTCTGATGCTGAACTCCATTACGACTGAATGGTCTCACACTGTCCGCTGACCTAAGATGGAACAAATACATTGGGTCAATTGCTTCGTCCACCGCAAGGAAAGTTGGCTCCCTGTGCCGCGCCAGGAAATTTTTCTCCCCTGAATCGATCCTTCAAATCTACAAATCAACCATTCGCCCTTGCATGGAATACTGCTGCCATATATGGCCTGGTGCCCCAGTCCTCAACAAGATCCAGATACGGATATGCAATGTGGTTGGTCCTGATCTGGCATCTCGTCTACAGTCGCTCTCTCACAGACGTGCCGTCGCCTCCCTCTGACTTTTCTACAAATACTTTCATGGTAACTGCTCCGACGAGCTACATCGCTAGTTCCCAGACTGCATGAATTGAAACGTGCAGCTAGGCTGGCATCACGGACCCACCCTTTCACTGTCGAAACAGTTAAATGTGGCCGTCTCTTCTACTCCAATGGCTTCATGTCTCGCACCTCCCGTCTGTGGAATCCCCTTCCTATTACTTGTTTCCCCTGATAGCTATAATCGCCAACTATTCAAAGGTAATGTCAATCGACATCTCTAGATGCCCTGAGCTATTCCCAGTCCTTCTCTTCATCTTTTCCTCTATCACGCCTCTTTACTCTCACTCCCACTCTCTGTAACCCATTGCGTATTAGTGGCATCCCGCCTTTCTTGGGGTCAATTTCTTAAATATATATATATATATATATATATATATATATATATATGTAAATAATTAAGAAAGAGACAGCCTTAAGGTTTCATGACTGTAATTTATTTCCCCAGGAAATATATTTTTCCTGGTTCATCAGATCACATCTCTAGTTACAAAAGAATTAGGTTTATTTTATTAACTTGTATTAAAAATAAAAATAAAAGAAAACTAATTCTTTTGATTCTTTTGTCACTAGAGATGTAATCTGATGAAACTGAAAAAATATATTTTCTGGGGAAATAAATTATCGTCATGGAACCTTAAGGCTGTCTTTTTTCTTAATTATCTAATTAATATTTTCTCTGGTGTTACACACACACACACACACACACACACACACACACACACACACACACACACATATATATATATATATATATATATATATATATATATATATAGGTTTGAAACGGTATAAAAAACGGTAGTATATATATATATATATATATATATATATATATATATATATATTGAATACTACAGACAAGCTTCTTTGATTTAGTTTTCTATACACTTTCTTATGTGATCTAAGTTACATCACTGGCAAATTGAAAAACAAAGCTCCTGGAATATTTTGTTTTTTAACCTTATTGCTTCTTGAGAAAATCCAAACATGGATACGCAAGGTGATAGGTAATGGCCTGTCATATTGGCTCCAGTCACTTTTTTCACAGACGTGATGTGGTTTCCCTCTGTCTTTTCTACAAATATTTTCTGACGAGCTATTTTCACTGGTTCCACAACTGCATGAGTTCAAGAATGCTACTAAGTTGGCATCTTGGTCCCACTCTTTTTATTGTCGAAACATTTAAATCTAACCGCCACTTCTACTTTAAACGATTCTTCTCTTGCACTTCCCGACAGTAGAACTCCATTCCTCTTACTTGCTTCCCTGATAACTATAATCTTCAAATATTCAAATGTAATGCCAATCGACATCTTTTGATGTCTTGATCCATGTCCTTCTCTTTATCCTATTCTTAAACACTCCTCTTTACTCTTACTTTCACTTTCTGTAACCCCTTGCGTGACAATGGCACTCCCGCCTTGCTTGGCGTCAAAAGCTTAATAAAAATATACAGTAAAATCGAAGTGTCGGTATGGGGTGATCTTTTTCAAGAACTAAAATAAATTAATCTCTTTATCATTACATTTGAACAAAATTTAATGGATTTATGACACAGGACTGACATCAGTCATTTACGAGCCATGCGTGATACACGACTGACGAGGCAGATTTTTTTTTTTCAGTTGGCTGCCATTTCTTTCTGGTGTAGACCAGTTGCCATTCAAGGATATAGAACCCGCTATAGCTGGGAATAGAAGATTCATACCTTTCCCAAGCCTATTAGCACATAGTGATTTGACTGGAATTCGAACTCGGCTCTACGATTTCTCAGTCCGAGCTGCTATCCATTACTCCACTGTAAAGTCACAAAAACGTCATGGCACTAATATACATGTATACATATACGTATGTGTGCGTATGTGTGCGTATGTGTGTGTAATTTTTTCTGTTAAATTCTATCCGTCATTAGCTATTCTTTGATAATGCTATCTGTGTGTGTGTTGGAGGAAGTTGTAATGAAAATTGTCTACAACTAATTCAACTTCTGTAGACATCCTATCAAATTTACCGTTAGTCGTCCAAAATAGAGTTGCGTATCACTAGAAACTTTCAATTCCAATGTAAATTCCTAGTCCCACGAGAACAACACGTCCTACGAGATAATACGATATTTCGAAGTCAGACACTGACAACTATAACAATGAGACTAATTTTTCATCGAGAACCACTGATAAAATCAACAATTCATTCCTCTGAACTGTGGCCGCATTAGTAGAAAACAGACAGGATGCATTCATCAAAGCATCGAAAGAAATATATACCTGGCTGCAATAAATTAACTAGTGTTATGCCACAATAGGGCCGGTCAAATTTGAAACTGTGACATTGCAATCGATATTGAGATTGGGGTTTGATATGATAAATAATGCCACAAAATACTTTTTCTAGATCTTTACCGTTTTTTTTTTTTTTAGAAAACGAGTACAAAAATTATGTCTCGGTTCAAAATGGTAGCGTTGGAATTTAATTCCGGTGTTCAGTGAAACGAAACACAGTTGAGTAATGGATAGCGGCTCGGATTGAGAAATCGTTGGGCCGAGTTCGAATTCCAGTCGAATCCATTACATTCACTTATATGCTAATGCATGCTAAGGTATGGAGTCTCTTCTTATCTTCCCAAATAACTTGCTCTGTTCTGCTCTTTACCCTTCGCTAAATAGCAGAACAGAGCAGGTTCTATGGACGGCAACTGGTCTACCGCAGAAAGAAATGGCGACCTACAACGGAAAAAATCTGCCTCGTCAGTCATGTATTGAAAGACACGTGATCGCCCAAGCGTGTATCACATAACGTAACTGACTGTTCAATGAAAGCCTTATTGAAAAAACTTATAAAATTAATTGAAGCTTTATAAATTATATATAAAGAAGATGCATGGTACCATAATATTATTACTAAATCACTGTGCAATCAAATAAGACCTTCATTTAATTTAAAAGAAAATTATACTGAAGATATATTATGATTCAATATGTTATGCAGTAGTTTTAGTGTGATTTTCAATCAACAATACAAATTTAAAACATTTTGTCTTATAGTATGTGTCCAGTAGTATTATGGTATTATATACACTTGTATCTATTTTTCTTAATTAATTATGGTATATTTAATGATCTTACAAATTTTATTCATTATGTAGCATTTTTTAAATCTTTTATATATTTTGGCACATTTTTACTCATGGAATACAGTAAAAAAATTGCATATTTTGCTTCTGGTGATTTATAATTAGAATTCTAGTTTGAATATATTTTCCATTCCATGTATCTAATACAAAAAAATATCAAATTTATTTGGATTTATTTTTGAAATAGTAAATTTTGAAATCAGTTTGTAATCAAAAATTTGTGGAAATTAATTATTTCTGTCCATTTTTAGAGGAATGTCATGTATGGCGCAAAACCCGTTTAGAAATAACTGAACTGTCTGCTGTATAGAACTGCACTCTCAGGCCAATGATTAAAAAATGACATTGCGTGAAATTTCTGTGTCTCGAAGAAACTTGTAGATTGGCGCTACATAATCCCAAACAAAAAAAAAACTGTACGAGATAACGAAAACGACATGAGGACTTTCAACAGTAGCAACAGTTAAAATGGATTGCACGTGTTATCAGAAGAAAAAATAATTACATAATCAAGCTGTTAACATTCCACACTATTCCAAATAAAGTTTATTTATTGATTCTTTTTCGACGTCTTATCAACGCCTTACAGGTTATTTAAAGTAAGAAAATATTATTTAGATTTATTTTTTTTACGATAATAATGATTTCGTGATGCAAATCTTACTACTTAACCCATAGCTGAGGGGAAAGAGGTGGATTCCCACCTTTCCCAAGGGTACTTGTGAAATATAACTAACCCAACTGAAATCAGAACTCCGATTAAAAATTCCGAGACATAATCCATTACATCACCTGTACATACAAGCTCGCAGTTCGTGTTATTCCCAAGCGCTGATCAATCTAACTATTGCTCAGGCTCAACGTTGCTTAACTTCGGTGATCGTACGGGAACAGGTATTCCAAGGTGATGTGGCCTCAAGCCAAAATTAAAGGTGAGGAAGGACCCCTTCCATTTATAGTGTTGAGAGGGATCACAGCTGACGGACTTGAGAAATCTGTTTTCCTGAAAAATTCTTATAAAAGAAATGTTATATGAATTTCAATCTACCGCTTGGTTAATGAATGCCGGATATTTCCTTATAAGGAAAGGGTTAATATTACCATCATCATTACCGTCAAATTTAAAAAGGTTTTTATTTGCATGTTTCATCAAATGACATGCTTCATCAATGCTAACAGTTTCTTTTCTCGCACTTCTAACTTGTTGAACTCCCTCCCGACTCCATCATTTCCAGCAAACACCGAAAATTTAAATGCAATGCAAATCGCTATCTACTGCCCCCCTGGTTACTATTTTCTCTTTCCACTCATTATTTAAGTTTCTGTTAACTACTTCCACAACGAGTAACCAATGTCTTTTCTACAAATATTTTCATGGCAACTGCTCTGAATAAATGTTTCCCTGGTGTTTCGACACCGTAATTTTAAGCGCTTTACGATATTAGCATCTCTTTCCCACCCTTTTGCTGTTGAAATAGTTAAATGTAATCGCTACTGCCACTTCTACTCGAGCAGTTTCTTTTTCACGCCATTCCCGCTTGTGAAACTCCCTTCCGTTTATTTGCTTCCTTGCAAACTACACTCTTCAAAAATTTAAATGCAACTTCAATCGCCATCTTGGTTCTTCTTGAAACCCGGTCATCATTTATCCTTTCCTCGATCCCCCCGCCCTATAACCAGTCTTTTCTCTCACCTTCACTCTCTGTAACACCCTGCATACTAGTGGCATTCCCGCCATTCTTGGGGTGAAATGATTTAAAAAAAAATAGCTCAGTAAACAGCTAATATTATCATTGCCTTTGCTTAGGTTCATATAATCTTATATTTTTCTTTTCTTGATATCATAACGATTATTCTTATGAGATATTTTGTATAATCCTACGCCAAGATTAAATTGTAGTGATTTAGGTGTCTCGTGATTAAATGGCTTTAAAAAAAAATGCCACCACAAATATTTATTTCATAAACAGTTTATGTAACTATATTCCTTTATAGACTTTTCTTTAATGTGATCACGATTCCAACTTTTATATTCCTTTAAATAAAAAAAAAAAGGATTCATCAATTTCATCCTAAAGTAACACTAGTAGTTCGGTCAATAAATACTGAATATTTCCTTACAACGAAACGGCTAATAATACTATAGACATAAGGTCACTTGTTATCCATTATAACCAACACCATCTCAGTTCATTTACTTCAATTTAAGCGAATAAAGAAGAAACAAGCAAAATTTTTGGATGCTCCACAAGGAAAAAGAAATATGACCATTACAATAAGATCCTGGGTCTCCATTGCAAAAGCCATCTAAAGTGGTTGCCGTTATGAATATTACCTTAGTACAAAAAGATAATCTTCTGAGCGCCGTGAATGCTTACGCCCTGAAGTTTGATATTAAAAATGAGATCTAGATATATATATATATATATATATATATATATATATATATATATATATATATATATATATATATATATATATATATATATATTATTATTATGCTTATGAGGGTTTAAATGTAATCCAGGAACTAAGTCGGCGAGAAGAGAAGGAACACGAAGAAAATATGGCGGATATATTTTCATCGAACCCGATATTTTCTTCATATTATGATTGTATGTGCATTATCAACGTCGCATCGGAGTTTCATAAATATTTTTTCTCGTCGTTTTTCTAGTCGTCCGGTGCTAATTTGGATCGTTATTTACAAGGGGAAAATATCAACACTGTACAAATTACATGTTGGACCGATATCTACATAATAAAACAGGTGATAATTTGGCATGTTATCTTTTCTTTGTAGATAACAAGCCAAAGTAGCACCAAATTTTACTATGTACATATCATTCCAAATAAATGTTTTTACGGTGTAGATATTTTAGTTGATGTTTATGTTTATCGCTAGAATACAAATAAAAGAAATATATATTTTGAATACACTTTTTATATATATATATATATATATATATATATATATATATATATATATATATATATATATATATATAAAGACCAATTACGACTGGGTTATGAATTCCATTGTCACTGGGCTTGTGTCACATCTAAGCAACGCCTGGAAAAACCTTACACTCCTCGAAGTAGAGCAATCGTTACCAAGCTTGTCTCGCTAGATCAATTTGTCTAATTGGCTTGTCAGTCAGATCAATTACGACTGAGTAATTGGGCTTGTTGGCTTTTATTGCTAGATGAAGAAAATAATTGACGTTATTTGAGATGAATTGGTTTGTCATGTTAGATCAATTACGACTGAGTAATTGGCTTGTCTTGTTAGATCAATTACTACTGAGTAATTGGCTTTATTGCTATATGAATCAATGTAATTGACGTTATTTGCTAGATGACGTCTGAGTAATTGGCTTGTCATGTCAGATCAATTACGACTGAGTAATTGGCTTGTCTTGTTAGATCAATTACTACTGAGTAATTGGCTTTTATTGCTAGATGAATTACAACTGAGTAATTGACGTTATTTGCTAGATGAATTACGTCTGAGTAATTGGCTTGTCATGTTAGATCAATTACGACTGAGTAATTCGCTTTCCTTGCTAGATCAATTACGACAGAGTCATGTCTTAGATCAATTACGACTGAGTAATTGGCTGATTTTGCTATATCAATTACGACTGAGTAATTGGCTTTTATGGCTAGATCAATTACAACTGGGTAATTGGCGTTTCTTGCTAGATGAATTACGTTTGAGTAATTGGTTTGTCATGTTAGATCAATTACGACTGAGTAATTGGCTTGTCTTACTTGATCAATTACTACTGAGTAATTGGCTTGTCTTGTTAGATCAATTACGACTGAGTAATTGGCTTGTTTTTCTAGATCAATTAAGACTGGGGAGTGAAATCGATCCTTAACCTATCGGCCTTCAAAAACACTTACGATATTATATTCCATCTAAATTCACGATGAAGTGTTTCATTTGTTTCGGTAGCAGATGTGCAGGCATTAACGTTAAATTTAATTCAGCCGCGTTGCTCAATTATTCAGCCCCCGTAAAGATCGCAGTGCCGTTCTTACTCAATTTTTAAAGATCTCGCGCAAATACTGACCAAATATATATATATATAAGTCCATTGGCGCATTTTTGCTAAAATGTCCAATCTTAGCACGTGGATGTACAAGTATTTTTTTTTTTTTTTTGTCTATAATGAGCTCGCCATCTTCAATTTCTTTAATCATTTTTAATGAAGGTTAACTCTTTTCTGAACAAGGATCCTGTTCGGGATCTTAGAAGAAATACCAGTTAACTTATTTTTTTTTTTTTGTTCTTTATCTACGTTTGATCTCTAGCAACGTTCGTTCTATTTTTATTTATTTATTTCAGCCGCCAAACTCTGATTAGATCTCCGAAATGTCAAATCGAATCAATCTACTGACTCCTACCGTTTGCTCGAATGTCATTTTCGTTTACCCGAGAAGGACACGAAGGTCAGGAAGTGCATTCGAGGATTTCCACTTCCCAAGCTCGCCAGCAATAACAATCGAAGCTCGAAAAAAAAAAAAAAACGTGTCAACTAAAGAAGTGACAACATTACAGCAAAAAGAAAAAAGAAATTAAATAAATGCGAACAAAAAGTAATCAAATGAATTTCGAACCTAAACTAGAAGGCTGATTGTGCTCTGATAGAAAGGTGAGGAGAAGAAGAGAAAAAATTAAAAAACAAAAAAAACGGACCTATGAAGTGTGATGATTCAATCGAAGGTTTTCGAGTGGGGTCTGCTCCTAAATTGATTTCTTATATTTGGGAAATTAGCATGATGGGGGGAAAATGCATAGATGAACCAACTGGAGTTCGCTGAGATATGAATTTTTAAAATCCTTTTTTCCCCTTTCTTGAGATGTTACTGAAGCTCAAAGATAATGATTTCGGTTTTCTTTGTAATTTTTTTTTTTAAAATCTCTTCTGAGAAAAAAAAAATCAATGAAAATATTTCGAAGGTGTGATACGAAGTAACATTTTTTTTTATAAATTGTTCAGAGATTAATATTCTTCATAATTTATTCGTATCTCCCTAATATTTTCGAGTCAGTATCAGTATCCATCAGGGTACGGTGGATAAATTATCGTCTAAATTACTTTAATTTAGACGATAATTCATCCATCGCACCCGATATATATATATATATGTGTGTGTGTGTATATATATATGTAATCGTTACCAATTTAGACCGAGTTCCACTTCCAGTTGGGTCCGTTATGTTCAATTTTGCACAAATGCTATTTGTCACGAAATCATTATAATATAAAAAGAAAATTCTTAGATTCTAAAAATGTTGTTGTGACGTTAAATAACCTGTCTATAACCGTAGAAAACTAGTCAATGAATCAAAATTTACACCGTCTCCTTCCCCTGCATGGTGCTCAAGGCCATATCACATTGAAACGCTGGTTTTCTTACGATCACCGAAGTTAAACAACATCCAAACTGGTTATTATCTAGATGGCTGATAGCTTCGGAATACCAGGTGTTTTTTTTTTTAAGCATTGTGCCCCAAGCAAGGCGTGAAGCCACTACGATGCAGGGGGTTGCGGAAGATTTGGAGCGAGAGCAGATAAGAGTAATAGGAGAAAGGAAGAGGAGAAGGATAGTGGGTAGATCAAGTTAATTGGAGATGTCGATTGACATTACATTTGAATAGTTGGAGATTATAGCTTTCAGAGAAACAGTAATTGGGGAGGGTGTTTCACTGGCGAGAGGTGCGAGGTATGAAGCTATTGGAGTAGAAGAGACGGCTACATTTGAAGGTTTCTACGGTGTAAGGGTGGGAGCGGGATGCCAGCCTCGTAGGGCGCTTGAATTCATGTGCAGCTTTGTTATATTTACTTATTTGCAAATCCCCTTTTAGGAAATGTATGAATCTACCTTTTCCCTACCAGCTATGAGTTCATTAGTAAGATGCGTATCTGTAAATCATTATTATCTCCAAAAAATTCTTACAATCTAATTTTTTTTTTCTGATTTTGAATAACCTGCAAAAAAAAGAACAATCAAAATATTTTTAAGCTTGATTTCTTTAGTTTTTTTCCATGTTATTCCTAAAATTAACTGTCGTTCATTTTATATTTTTTAAACATCTTTTCACTCCAAATAAGGCTATGAAGACCCTAAGCTGCAAGGGGTTACTAAGAGTGGAAGATTGTTATACTGTAGCTATGGACTATATGGGTATGCCCAAATCCTTATAAATACAGTGGACTATACAGTATGATGTACTGACTTTGGTTTCACCTTGATTCCCTTCTAGCAGTTGATTAATTACAAAACGCCGCTGGCGGATCTTGTATGTTTTTTTTTTTCTGTTATAAATATTATCGTTCCACTTCCAACCATCGTTTTGGTTATTCTTATTCAGTAACCTTTTCTTAGGTTTACGGCAGAGAAAATAAGAAAGCGTTAGTGAGTGAAAAGCAATGGGTTGATTACTAGGACTCGTATCTTTAAATCGTTAGTATCCTTTACAATGTTAACATATTTTCTGCCTTTAAATAACATCCAAAAGGTTAATAAGCCATAAAAAAAAATAAAAATAAAAAAATAAACAAAAAGCAAAACAAACCAATCAAAATTTTCTTCAGGCCATTTTTCTTTTTCCCGTATATTTTTACATTATTTTCTTGCTATCACTCCCTTCTCCTTGTCTCTCTTAATGAGTAATCTCTCTTTTTTTTTTCTACTCGATATTTGTCTCCTCACTTCTTGCCTCTTTCGTTTCTCTTTATTCTTTTTTACTTTCTTTTTTCTTTATTATTTTCGCATCTCTCTCACCCCCCTCACCCCCTCTCTCTCTCTCTCTCTCTCTTTTTTTTTTTCCTTTTCTAACTTTAATTTGTCTCTCTTCTTTTCTCCATTCCCATTTTTTGCTTTCTCTTGTCACTGGTTTTCTTGCCCCCCCCTCATTTTTTGTCCTTGATTTTATCGACTCTTTCCTTTTTTTTTTTTTCTCTCTCTCTCATCCTTATGTATCGCTCTACTTTTCAGCTCTCTCTTTTCGTTGCCTTTCATTTATTAGCACTCTTTGCTTCTTTCAATTTCACATAACACCTATTTCTCTCTCTTTCCCTCACTTGCACACTTTTCAATCATTTTCTATTTTCATTTCTACGTCTTTCTTTTCTAAACTCTCTTTGACGATTTTATTTTTACACATCGCTTATTTCTCTCTCTCTCTCTCTCTCTCTCTCTCTCTCTCTCTCTCTCTCTTGGACAGTTTATTCTCATTTTCTATTTTCTCTACTTGCCTTTCTTTCCTTACATCTTTTTGTCTCTTATTTTCACATATCTCTCATTTAATTGTCACTCTACTGTACAATTTCCTCTCATTTCCGTTGGTCTCTCCTTTGTCTCGGTTTCAGTCTCCCTTACTTTCTTCCCCGCATTTCATTCTCCGTTATTTGTCTCTCTAAAGTTCTACTCAATTTCCTTTTCTGTTTTCTCACTATTGTCTCCCTGTTTTCGTGTCCATCACATCCGTGTCTTTTCTTCTCTCTACGTTTACTTGTCTCTCTACTATTACTTGTCTCTCTATTTTTCTGCTATCAAATTTGACTTTTCTTTCTCCTGGTTTTGTCTTTCTCTTCTCTTTCCTATGCGGTATTTTTCTAACTTCATATCTTTCTTCTTTACTTACCTCTTCAATACTTGTGAATCTCGTATCTGTTTTATTTTATATAACCCACTTTCCCGCATTTGACCTTCTACCTTTCTAAATTCCCATTTCGTCTTCTTTGTCTCTTGTTTTTTCTATCTTTCATTTTCCGCTTTTCTTTTCTACTCCTACTTTCCATTATTTTTCTCTCTATTATATATACAGTAGCGATGGTTTGGAAGATAATTAGAGAAAGGGCTCAGAAAAGAAACCCGAAAAACCAGGATCACCTATGGGAATTATTGAAAGACGAATAGGAGGGAATTATTGCTGATTTTTGCAAGAAATTAATTATATCATGTGGTCGACGATGCAAAGAAGTCATTGAAAATAACGGAATGTTTACCAAATATTAAATTTTGTTGATATTTTGTTCACAATCAAGTGTTAACAAGATCGTTCCTTAACTTTTGTCCAGTAGCTTATTTCCTTTGTTCCATTTAATCTTTATTTTAAAAAAAACTATGTAAATTTTTGTAACTTTGTATAATATTTATGCATTATACCCTAATATTTATTCGGTAAAAATTTCATTGCTAATCATGCATTACTTTTTAAGTAATACACATATTTATGTCTTTGTTGTTTCCGTTCCTTATGTTATGGCCGCTACTGTATATATATATATATATATATATATATATATATATATATATATATATATATATATATATATATATATATTTCATTCTCAGACACTACTGTTTCGCTGTATCACAGCTCCTCGGTGCGACTAGATATCCAACCGATTTCCGATTTGGTGTCAGTCAGGGTTTCTACCACTGACCTATCTTCATTCGACAGAATAAAACAGCTAAATCAGCTTCATTCGACAGAATGAAGCAGCTAAATCTAGCTAAATCAGCTTCATAAGGCTTTATTCATTTTACTGAATGTTATATAATTAGCATGTCACTCAACGGTTCTCAGTGTAAATATATTTTCAAGAGCTAAATTATTTCATTCACAGAGAGTAGTTTCCTCAGTGCGACTAGACATCCGAATGCCTCAAGCCAGGATTGAAACTCGATATGGTGTCAGTTTCTACCAGTGAGCTCTCTTTATTCGATAGAATAAAACAGATTATATTTACGAATGTAATCAAATGCCAATCAGCCATAGGGCTCTATTCATATTACTGAAGATCTTTGCATTAGCGCAGGTGGCTGTTGTTTATAGAAGTAGGTTGGTATTCAAGAGTGCTCAATTGAAATATATTTTCAATATATATATATATATATATATATATATATATATATATATATATATATATATGATATTCAGACAAACTGATTAATTTTTGAAATTTTGGATTTATTTATGGTTGCGAATCCCCCCACTACCATATAAACATCAATACATACGCAAGCATAAATAGATACAAATAGTGTGAAACCCAGAGTCCCAAACTCATATCAATCCAATTAAATATGAAAGATCTCTCACTGATATTGAGCGCTTTACAATAATTACTGCGCTTATATAATATATAAATACTATATATGTAAAACTGCATATATATATATATATATATATATATATATATATATGTTGTGGTAGGATCCACCTAATTTGCATGTCTTCCCAAGAATATACAAAAGACTATATGTAAATATTGTGTACACTTTCTTGTTTCAATACATTTTGTTCTAAGTACATTTTGTGTTGTATTATTATTCCTTGCATGAGCCAAGTTTCAACAATATATATATATATATATATATATATATATATATATGCAAATTTTACACTGAGTTTCAATTCCAGTTGGGTTCGTTATCCATTACCCCACCCTCACATGCAAGCACACTGTTTCAAAATTCCCAAGCGGTTACCTATCTAGGAACTAACCTTGCTTGATGTTGCTTAACTTCGATGATCGTACGTGTACTGATGTTGGAATGTGATATGGCTGTAATCCACCCGATGTAAAGAAAGAGCAACAATGGTGAGACTAGAAAAGAAATGCGACAAGAGAGACAAATAAAAGAGATTTTTAATTAAAAAAAAAAAAAGTGATGAAACAGAGACAAGAAAGAAATGACATTAATATCTGAATTAATTTAACCGGAAGAATTGTTCATCCCTTCAGTTTACATTTTATCTACGGGGCCTTCGTTCAGAAAAACGGAAGCTAAAAATCCCATTCAGCCGCTATAAGTTTTACGCTGCAAGAGGCAAACGATGACAAATTTATTTAGATTATAATAAGAATAGGACATCGAAGAGATTGTAGAAACAACCGCAGCTGGAGAACTTGGACCGGCGCCAAATTCATGTTTCCAAACAATGGCAAATGTAAATAAACATTTTTCTCCGGATAGAGTTAAGGCTCATCAACTGCGATTTGAATGCTAAGCAAAGCAAACGTCTTAAGAACATTAAGGCAAATTCTTTATTAAAGTCTGGTAAACTTATGAAGCCAAAGCTTGCAAAACCTTGATACTATGCTTCCGAAAGAAGTAGGCTTTTACGGGAAAAGCTTACTAACCCCATACCTAGAAGGTTTGAAATTCAGAATTGTCTTTCTCCTGGACTGGTTGCCAACCAAAGCTGAAGGCACCAATCTGCTCTGATGTTGAAACCGCAGATAGAGTTAGAGAAGATTGATTCGTATCTTTGTCTATCAGCAGGGAAATGAATACAACGAATTTGAACCCTGCTCGTTATTTCATTAGTTTATTTTAATAAATGAAACTGTTTGGCAAAGGTATTTCAATGATGTAGTCGTTGACGGACTCGTTGCCGAATATTGGAGTGATCATCCACATTTCCTTCTGTGTAAAATGCTTCCTATATTGGATCTGAAGAGACGTCCGCAATCACCGCATGGGAGTGTAGTAGGGTTCAGGGAATGGAAAACTCTGAATTTTCTTTGAACTATCGTCAACTCCTCTATTTGTCTTCTAGCTTTTTCGAAGGATATTTTCTTTTTTTGCTGACTGATCTTCTTCAACTGGTACTTCCTGCGGCGTCTGCTTCTCAACTGACTGCAGCGATTATTGTCCCCAGCACGGTGATTTTAAACTTACCATTGAATCGAAGACGTTGTGCTCCACGTAGTATCTTGGCAGATGCGAGATCCGAGAAGAGGATGTGCTTAGGAAGGCGGCTGCCTGGCATTCGGGCAAGGGGTCCGGGCCCATTGAAGTCAATGGGTGGCGGGGGGTCATGGTGGTTCTTAGGCTCTCCATCACGGAGGAGAACTTCGCTGTTCGTGATCCGGTCCTGACACGTGTTACGCAGGATTTGACGAATTTTCATTTGATGGAATCTTTCAATTTTGCGAATGTCTCACAAGCGTACAAGGAGGGTCGAGGTTAGAACAGCTCAGTAGACCATGAGCTTGGTGGTTTTGTTAGCCCAGGAGGGCCGGAGACCCTTTGAAATACCTCCCCATATACTGCGTGAGCGGCCTTGATTCGGTTATCGACGTCTATTTAGGTGATTATTTGATATTAGTATGCTACCAAAGTATAGAAATTATTCAACATTACGGGGTCCAGTCTGTGGATTGAGGTTTTGTAAATGGTGCAAACTGTAAAGAAAAAAATAAATGACAAAGTTTAAAGTATTAGGGTGGCCAAAAAAAAAATGGGAATTTTTGAAGTGCGTATTGCCAGACATGAGGAAGTGGCAACACTGCGAGACAGTGACCTTGAACAAATAAACAATTCGCCATTTAGAATTCAAGATGAAATTCACAGTATCCCAGCTGAGATATTGCAGCAGTCAATGAGGAATCTCAACAGCAGATTTCAAGAATGCATTCGTACAGGAAGACGCCATGTACAAGACATCATTTTTAAAAAATGAAAATTCCATCATTGTTTCTTAAATGGCATGTTTTAAGGTTTCAATTACTATAAATAAAATATTTTTCTTCCATCACTCTTGGTTTTATTGGATTGTTAAAAAGTTCCCATTTTTTGGGGTCACCCTGTACAAGTACATTTTAATATTTGACAAATCAATGTTAATTTCCTTTTGGTTTTTAATGATTGAGGAGGGGAGAAACACCAACTCCTAATTATGCTTTCCCGTGTACCAAGCCTATTTAACATGTGGTTGATTATGGCTGATCGAAAGGTCTTCATAATTCTTGCTTAAAATAACTTTTGTCTTTTTATTTTTCCTCTGTATTTTTTTTCTTTTTTTGGTTATGAGATGTGGCAAGTCTTTCGATGTTCACAGAAAGCGCTCGGACTAACTACATTCCTTGGTTCTGCTAGGACTACCCTTTACAGCAAGGCTACGCCATGCTGCTTACATTTTACAAAACCATCCATATTCCATCTGTATTCCATTGGTGAGAAGTAAGTCTCTCTTGAACAGCTTCTTGTGAACCACTGCTCTGTGGAATAAACACCTAAGAGCATGTTTCCTCTATCACTAAATTATTAACCTGTTCAAATGTAAGGCTAACTGTTAACTTCCCCTCCTATCCGTAAAAACTGCCTTCTAATACTCCTGGATACGCAGGTAGTGTAATTGATAATGTCCCGGAATTGTTCATTCGGAAAGACGAAATTCAGTGTTAGTCGGATTCTTTATATTAAATTACGCTCAAATATTCTTGGTAAAGGTATTAATCCAACTTCTATCCTCGCAGCTATGACTTCTATCCCTAAAACTATAATTATCTAAAAGCATAAATAATGCGCAAAAAATATTTAGATTTCGCCATTATATAACCCACAGAGGTTAATATATGCTAACCAAAAACAACCAATCAACATTCGCGAAAATTCGTTAAATAGATTATTCACTCCCCACTGCTTCTTTGGTTTCAGTATGTCTTGTGGCTGCTATATGCATTAGCTCAGACAAATAACTGTATGTGTCAGAATCAACTAAGTAAAGAAATTTAGATATGTGGAAAATATTACAACAGAAGACGGAAATATGAAGCAGAAATCTAACTAAAAAAAATGCCTTCTAAATGATAAGGAAAATGTTAAGAGACAGAACAATTTCGTTAGAAACAAAGTTAATTGTACTGAACTGTTATGTAATATCAATTTGCATATATAGCAGAGAATGCTGGGGTACCTCGAGGTG